GCTTTGTGTTGGGGGGGGGGGGGGTTGGGGGTTGGGGGGAGGGTGGGGGGGTGTGGGAACGCCCCACACACATACTCCCCTCCATGGCATGAAGCCCCTGCCACCAGCAGCAGCAGCAGCAGGCACTCGGGGCATTTGTGGCCCATGCAGGTGCTGCTACCTGGTGGTGCATGGCTCTAGCAACACAGCCCCTGGTGGCAAGGAGTGCGGCGATGCTGGCCCACCTCTATCATATGGGGCTCCATGAGGTGCATGTGCAGCTCCATGCCACTGGGGGAAGCCCCGCATGATGGAGCCGGCTGCCTTCTTCGCCCGCTGCTGTGCAGGTCCTGGGACTGCCACAGAGTGGAGGGGAGCCTCACCCCCTACTTCCCAGCAGTCCTGGGACCTGCATGGCAAGGGGTGGGGAAGGCAACTGACTCCATGCTGTGGGGCTTCCCTTGGTGGCGTGGAGCCTTGTGCGACACAGGCAAGCCAGCCTGGCTATGCTCCTTGCCACCACATACAGCATTGGCTGGAGACATGTACTGCCAGGCAGCAGCACCTGCTAAATCCACAAGCACCCCGAGCGCTTGCTGCTTGCTGGTGGCAGGGGCACAGCACACTGGGAGGGACGGGGGTGGTTTCCACCCCCACACCCTCTCTCACACCTCACAAACCCCACACACCCACACCCTGCCCCCACAACCACCTCACATATAGACTCCCCAATATACTCTATTCTCCCTACACACACAGCCACACCCCATCACAAAAGTACTTTACAAAAGTACTTAAAAATATAGATTTTCATATTACATGCTGTATTATATGTTGTTCTATAATACTCAGACTTTAATAATCATATAGAGAATGTTGTTATGCTGCTTTATTGCTGTTTTGTTTTCATTGGCATCTGGGGTCCTGTGCATTTTCAAGTATTAAAATCAGGTCATAATGGCATGTTAAGTGGGGTCAAGTATTAAAATGGGGTCATACTAATTTGGGAAGCACTGCTCTAGACACTTGCAAATCCCTGGTTTGGCACTGGCAAATGCATAAGAAATGGGTCTGTTAAATGGGAGCAGTACAAAATTGCTATATGTTATTTATAGCCCTGTATGAATAGGGAAGTATTTGATTCGGATTTGGATTTGGCTGATTTAGAGGACAGTGATTCGATTCGGTGATTTGAATCAATGTCCCCATCTGATCTGGCCAAATCAGAATAAGAGATTTGGTGCTTATTCAGAGATTCGGATCACCTGGGGAGAGTCATGGGAGAAGCCCCCATGGCTGCTCTGCCTGGCCCCATCCCCCACCCAGCCCCAGCCTCTCAGCACTTTAAAAAAAGAAAAAAAAAGCCCTGCACTCACTGGCTGCAGCAGCTGCGATTGGGGTTACTGAGGGCTCATGGCAGAGCCCCCTGTACAGCATAGGGCAGTGGGGGCAGCAGAGATCACCCCCGCCCTGGCACTCACACGGCAGCTGTCACGTGACGCAGGTGCAAGGTAACTCAGCAGAGCACTGGGAGCTGGGGCTACTGAGGCTGAGTGATGCCAGGCTCCAGTTGACTGATGGAGCCACCCCAGCTCCCAGACAGTGCGCAGTGCCCTGCTGAGCCATGCTACACCCACACCATGCGACTGCTGCCGTGCAGGTGCCAAGTTTCATAGTTTTATAGTTTCTAGGGTCGGAAGGGACCTG